AAGCAAAACTGTAAGGTCTACTCGTAGCATTGTGGAAGAATGCAATTATCAATCACTTTATTTTGCCCCGCGAGGACGCCATCTCATGTTGGTTGATCAGAAATGTCGATCTTATCTCATCGTCTCATCACATGTTTGTCATTTCAAACAACGACATTACTTACTATCGATATAAGTAGTATTTAATCCCAGTTATTATTAGTAAAAAAAATAGCCCAGTGACTTAAGAACTAATTGTTGTCGTTTTTTCACATTAGACCAGGCAGGATGAGAGAACCTTTTGTTAGTCAATTCAATGCAAACATGTGCCCCACCCATCTCATTGTGAGAAACCCCCCAAGTCCTCTTCAACAAAGCTAATGTCCTCTCGTCGACATTCGGACGGTATGAATTGCTTTACTTTGCGTCTTTTGTGCCCAAAAAGCATATTTCTTCGCTCGCCTCAAAAGACGGCAAATAAATGCTTCCGCATACACACACACACACATGTTCATGCCTGTGCACTTGGCACTGATGACGAAAGCGATAAGGTGTGACAAACGCAAGTGGGGGAGATGTGTTTGTGCATTTGTCTGTATGCCTTTGTGCACGTAAGCATGCGTGAATACACACATGCATTTTGTCGAGTTGCCCACTAGCTGGCGGTTGTGCGGCCGGTACCGGGTCTTGAAGGCACCATTGAAGGTGTGTCTGCATCGTGAAAGGGCCCGCTGCTCAACCCGCTACCACACAACGGCAGCAACCCGCCGTGGAAACGAGAACCATGTCCTGAAGACGATTCTGATTCCGCCGACCGTCGCAAACGAGGCAGTCAACTCACCAGACTCGCCAACAGCTCCAACCCACCTACACATACACACACTCACGCACACATGTATGCACATACGTGTCGACATGCATATAAACATATGTATACACACACACACAAATATATTGTCTCTTTGTTTAGGGTGCCGTTTGCTACCCCCAAGCATGTAACACATTTTAATTGAGTAGCCCACCTTCAGAAAAGGGAGCAGGTAGTCTACGGTTGGCACCAACTCCCCGAATCTTCTGCCTCTTCATCCTCCTCCTCCTCCTCCTCCTCCTCCTCTTGCCTCTCTGCGAGGCCGCGAGTTTAATGAGCCTCTCAGACGGCGTCGAGAGCCCAAGAAACCCGTGAACCTGGTGGCAGCATCTGCTAACGGGCCGTTTTGTGGAAGCAATGGAGGCTCCACTTGAACTCTGAAGTGTCATTCACCGGCTCGTCGAATTGCCGTGAAATTGGGCCGAGTCCGGGGAATGGCGACAATTGAAAGGTTGAGTGTGAAACGAGGCGATGCAGAGTCGTGGGGGCCAGACCGAGGGCTGAAACAGCCCCACGGCGCGAATTGACAATCAGCAGAAGATTGCCCGTCCTACCCACGACCCCGTTCAGAATTGGCCAACCTCCTCTGACCCTCAAAGCTCTTGGCTACAATCACACCCACACACACACACACACACA